GCGGCCCGCCCCGCCACACAGCCGCCCTCAGAGAATTGGATAATAATGGGTAATCTGAATGCTGTTGAATAGTCGATGCGCTCCCGCCTCCGCGCGGCACGGGGGACGCGTAGCTCAGACTGACGAGGTTTTAAACACGTCACACACACCTTTCCGCCGCGCCTCCCCCAAAACGAGTCACAAAAATGCTTTTCGCTTATTTTGTGAGTCGTACAGCGTTGTAGCGAGAGATGCAGAGAACGACACCGGAAACCCGAGTGTGTGCAAGTAGCACGCTTGTTCCTGGGTGAACGCCATTCGTACACAAAGCTTGTGAATTACAAATAAAAATTCACACGGCAACCTCATTTAAGTGTATTTGGTAAATGGCACCTACAAGTGTGCGACATTCACACCATGTACGTTATCAGTGTAGGACTATTTTTTTTCCCCGCATTCAAGAACTAAAAGATGACGCGCTTTCTGCTGGGCCATCTTTTTGGCGGTGCACGTGGAGAGGTGTTTGCCGGGGTGATTCGCCCTCGGCTCGTTCTGACTGACAGTTTAATTCGGTCCGCGTCCGCCGCCGCTGACCGCCGCGGTGTCCGCCGCGGCCGCATAGGGAGGGAATCAACACACTGCCAAAAAACGCAAAGCAAAGATAAAAAAATAAAATAAAGAACGTATGCCAAAGCTGCCAAAACGCGCTATAATGAACGGCCTTATGGCCATGTATGGATAATAATTGTCAGCTCGCGAAAAAATAAAACAAACACGCAATTATTGGCACGCAAGCAGCGACGGTGTATAAACGATTTTCCCGCGAAACGTCCCACAATAAGGAAAGTAGTGAAACCTCTCTGCGTGGGTTCATTTTTCCTTATCCGGTATTCGCCCTGTCCGGCCCGTGCTCTCCAAGACGCCCCCCCCCCCCAACGGTCTGCCCGTAATTCAGAGCTAATTGACAGCCTACGCTACCGGCAATTCGATATTCCGGACGGCACACCGTGCCCCCACCCCTCTTCCTCCACACTCCCTTATACTATTTTTATTTATCCGGCTGTATTTTTATATATATATTTCTCATCCTGTCCTCGCGTTTAACAAGGGCCCCCTCTCGACGCCGCCGACACGCGAGCTAGCGACAGCTCTCACCGCCAACTACTTTACGGCGCGTCTTAAGTTCATTAAAAAGGAGAAAGAGAATCATTAAGGTGACCGTAAATAATGCCCGGGGAAGGTGTGTGCCGCTGGGCATAAGCTCTCCAGCCACTCCAGAAATGAGTCGGTATTTTTACTCCCCCTCCTCCCCTCGCGTATCGCGGTGGGCTGCCTACCTGTCAGGGGAACGCCCAATTTATTTTGCTCATGTTTCATCTTCTGCCGCAGCTCCTCTCTATCTCGTTCCACCTCCCCCTCCGGCCTCCACCCTCTCGTTCGCGCACTCTCAAATACCTCACCCTCCCCCCCTCTCTCTCTCTCCGCGGACCGACTCCCTTTTCGGTGATTTACTATCATTCAGTTTTCGGTTCTGATTTATCGACTTTCTCGACTCATCACCCCCGTGCTGCTACCTGCCCAACACACGTTCCCTATCTCCCCACCCCACCCGTTCTGCAGCCCTCTTCAAAATAAAGGCAGAAAAATGAATTATTGTTATTTTTTAAAATGTGTTTTTGTTATGCTGCGCTTTTTTTGACTTTCCGTTCAAGTTTGACTTGAATTTCACTTGTGAGGGTCACGGTAGGGCTGTGCGATATCTCGATATTTCGATGTCGATACGATATCATGTTGATATCGAGGGCTTCGATATGCTCCCGATATCGACATATCGTTATCGAGGCTCGATAATATCGAGGATATCGAGGCATATCGTGAGTATTGTAGCATATTTAAAGCACGATATACCTCGATATCGTGTTGTATCGCGCCATCGACAGGCTTCGATACCCACGATATGCCTCGATACCTCGATAATATCGAGCCTCGATGTATCGAGGCGATGCTCGATACCTGCCTAATATCGTATCGCGATATTAAAATCTGTATATCGCACAGCCCTAGGTCACGGGGTGGGAACGGGGGCGGAGCCGGGGGTGACGGGGATATACGCTGAGAGACGCAGAGAGACGAGGGGGGGGGCAACACTTAGGTGGATAAGGTGAGGTGGCGGGTGGCGGCCGAGGTTTAGTGGCGAGTTGTTAGAACGGCCCGGGGACACTTTATGTGGGGCTTAGGTAAGGGCTGACCCTGCTCCGGGGGTGAGCCAAGGTGAGGGTGGAGGAGGGGGGGGGGGCACCCCGACGTATAGGGGAGGCTCCCGGGGGTCGCGAGGATCCTTCCTGGGGAAGCACCGTGGGGCTGACGCTACTAAATAGCTGGAACGACAGGTGTACACTGCCCGGGGAAGAGAGAGAGAGAGAGAGAGAGAGAGAGAGGGAGAGGGGAGAATGCGCTGGTGGCCGCAGTGGGCTCTTCACAATGAAGCGCCTGGTAGGTAGGCCAGCCCGCGGCCCTCCGCCGTGTTGCGGCTCTGCCTAAGCCACAGGCGGGCGCGTCGCTCCGGCCGGCACCAGACGGTGACGATCTCTCTCTCTCTCTCTCTCTCTCTCTCTCTCTCTCTCTCTCTCTCTCTCTCTCTCGTGTCTCACTCTGTCTCTGTCTCTGCCTGTCCCTCTCTGTCTGTCTCTTTCTGTCTGTCTCTGTCTCTCTCTCTCTCTCTCGTGGCCGTGCGTCCTTTCGCATCGAAAGAGAGAGCCGCCGCCGACGACGACGAGAGAATCGAAAATCTAAATTAAAATCTAAATAGGAAGCGGCTGCTTGAGGAGCCTCGCGAGAGGTGACTTCGCGGCGCCCGTGACGGACTGCTACTCTGTGAAAAACGACTTAAACTGACTCAGAAAAAGAAGTTGACACACATGACAGCTACGAAAATGCAGCCAGCCTGCACAGTGTTTTTTTTCGTGACCGTTTTACCTGTTTGCTTCCATTAAGAAAAATATTCCCAATTTTTATAAACATTAGTATCATCATCTTCGACTTTGACTCCTGCCATACGCCCTCTCTCCCCTCTCTTTTCCACCGGCCGCCTCGAGGCGCAGGGGCGGCTCTCGCAGGTCCTCAAGTCCCCCTCCTCACTCAAGGGCCGCCGCGCAGGGCGGGGACCACGGAGACGAGCGCGCCTCTATTGACAGCGGAGTGAAATGAAACGAATTTACATCAACAGTTACCTAGCGCCAGGAGCGCTGTCGGGCGGCGGGGGCGGCGGGGGTGGCGGGGGCCCTCAAACTAATAATCCGACAAAAGGAAGGAAGGTAGCAGACGTCGCTGGGACATTATTATGTAGTCCTGGAAGGGGAAACTTTCCCTCTGCTCCCGTCCCCGGCCCGGCCGAGGTGTCCTGGAGACATTTAAGGAGTCTGTCAGGAAGGGGCGCTGGGGCGCTCGAGCCACTGGAGCCGGCGTGGAGCTGAAGGGGAATTGCTCTTCTTGGCGTGTTCTTCGTGTGTGCCTAAGGGGAGCGGGTCCGCGAGTAAATCTCTCTCTTTGTATTCATCGTAAGTAGGTTTTATTTTCCTTGTCCGCGGCGCGTGTTGCATCTCTCATTCACTCTCTCCCTCTCTCTTCGGGTGTGTGAATGCATCAGGCACGTGTGGGTAAGGTTAACAAGAAAGCAATGACGTCACCTTGCAAAAAAAAAAAAAAAAAACACAAAAAAAAACAATTTTTTGTATTACTACTTATTTTAATGTTTTCAAATTATAAAAACAGGTTAAGGTTAAGATTCTGATGATTCTACAGTCGCGCGGGTCGCTGGACAATGCGGTTGGCTGCGCGCGGAGAATCGCGGCTCGACTCTCCCACCTGGAGAGACGCTCTCCAGTGCCGCTGGAGACTCTGCTGGAGACTGGCACTCCAGCGCGGGCAGCGCGGGGAGCCAGCAAATGATGCCGCCTGGAGATTTATCGATGAGGAGGGTGGGGACACGAGAGAGGGAGAGAGAGAGGGGGGGGCGGAGGCTTGGCACGGTAGCTGAATAAAGATGTGGTTAGGGGGAAAATGAAGAGAGCATGACCAATCCATGAATTGGATTGAGTTCGTTTAGAGCGAAAGGTGAGAACGAGAAGGGGGATGTCGAGGGAGAGGGAAGGAGTGAGAGAGAGAGAGAGAGAGAGAGAGAGAGAGAGAGAGAACCAGGAGGTTGTTAGGCCCGTGGAGATTTATAGCGCGGAGGTGGCTGGATTTGCCGGCGCGTCCCGCCGCCGCCGACTCGCCGTGGAAACCTTGAAGAGCTTGGCTGGTCTGATTAGCCTGGGATCTCTGCTTACCGCCCCGCCCCGCCGCGAGGGTGTATCTGCGCTGGGGATCCTACAACCTCTCGGCTGTCCAGCGCCCCGCGCGTCCCAATGTCCCCTCTTCTTTGCTTCTGCTGCTCCCTCGCAAAGCTGTCGGGGTCTGGGGAGTGCGATCGCCATCGGCGACGTGCAGGGGACGGCAAACGCGCCCAATCATGTTCAGTCAGTATTTAATAACAATAATTCTACCCGAAATAAGAACGGACATTTCTTTTCTCCATTACATTGCAAGTTGAACCTTTAGGCGCTTCTTGCAAAATAGGAATATTTGAATTTAAAAAAGGTACAAATTATTGGCATCGGTTTTTTTTAACGTACATATCTGTTTAATGTACACATTTTTGTTTGACGAGCGCCATTTCCACCTACCAGCAGTGTCCCCAGGTTTGCTATAATCCTCTTAGAGGGCCGCTTGACCGGCCCTACCGGCAGAGGGAGAAGACAAACCCGCAACACTGATTATTCTCTATTACACCCAATGCAGGTGCGCACATATCGCACCCTTAAAATCTTACGAACGCCTCTCTTCATATAATGGACGCAGTGTTCATAATATGAAGATTGAATACAGTTCCTAACAGATAAAGTTGCAGTGCTGGATTATTTCGACTCTCTCCTCACTCTCGGGGATCTTTGGCGGGCGGCTCCGGGCGCACTCGCAGTGACACTTCTCAGATGCTATGCTGCACCGGTACACGCACTCTTTGCGCTTTGCTTTGTCGTTGAGTGTGTCGCAGTGTTTTAGACACTTTTTCATTTTAGTTTGGCACCCAAAATTGATCGTGCACTGCTTCACCGAGTCGTCTTCCATGTTGTCCGCGTTGATACCGAAGCAGCGGCACTCGCAGTTGTGCTGGCATCTCTCTTTGCATACCTTGTCGCCCTCGAGGCACTCGCTGCTGCAGCGCTTGTACTTGCACTGCAACACAAGGCGGACAGTCAGCGGCGAGGAGGGTGCCGGCCTGCCCTCGGGCCAGCCTCAGAGCACGCGCACGGGGACTCACCTGTTCTTTCGTCTTACACTCGCCCCACGCGCGCCATTCCGCCTCTGGTGCAGAGCGGCACACGCAGGAGCAGTCCAGCGACTCTAGATGACACTTGTCCCTGCACTCCTGGTCGATGCACTTCTCCGCACACGCCCTGTGTGCCGCCTCGCAGGACTGCGTGCCGATGAAGCACTCTTCCCACTCGCCGCTCAAGTCGCGCCGGGGATGGCCAGCGCACGCGCACTGACACTTCCTCTCGCACCTCTTGGCGCAGAGTTCGTCTGCTGGATCAGCTGCTGTGCACTCGCTGCAGGTTCTGTTGTGGCACTGCAACACGGGGCGGGTCAGTCAGCGTGGGGGAGGTGTCAGCCTGCCTCGAGGCACCGGGACTCACCTGGTCTCGCTCAAGGCATGCGTCCCAGCTGAGCTTCCATTGCGAGGCCGTTGCCTCTTGTACGCACTCGCACTCGCACTTGTAGTTGTCCAGCCAGCACTGGGCCTCGCACTCCTGCCCTCCGCAATCCTCCTTACACTGGCGGTACGTCTCATCGCACTTCGCCCTGAACCAGCACTCCGTATACAGGTCGTAGATCACACCGCCCCGCGGGTATCCGGCGCAGCTGCAGTCACAGTTCCGCCAGCACATGTTGTGGCAGAGGCTATCCTCCTTTCGGCAGCCGCAATCCTCCGCAATCAAGCACTGCAACACGGGTCAGTCAGCGGGGAGGCGGGCGGCGTCGGCCTGCCGCGGCCACAGAGACTCACCTGGGGCTTCCATTTACACTCTTCCCTCTTCTTCTTCTCCTCGGTGGCCGAGCGCCGCGATTGGTCGCGCCCGTCGGTCTGCTGGGCGGCGCTGTCCTCCTCCTCCACGGGGGAGCACGGCCCGGCGTGCTTCAGGGAGAGGCCTGCGCAGTTAAAGAAAGTATCGTTCGAGTGAGTGATCAAGGTTTCAGATCAAGCTGAAACTTTCAATGGACTTGCAATGAGGCATTTTACTGGTATAAAGAAGAGCAGGAAGAACAAAGCCAGATCATCACAAGCCTTCAATTGTTTTTCGGAAATCGTCTGCTAAAACAATTAAAACCAGTCAATTTCCGAAAAACAGTTGAAGGCTTGCGTGATGATTTGACTTGTTCTTCCTGATCTTCTTTATACCAATAAAATACCTCATTAAAACTGTGATACTGTACGACAATTGAGTTTCCAGGGTACTGGATGCATTGGTTTGTTTCGTTAGACGCGTAAAGTCGGAAAGATCACACACTATCAAACCTGTCACTCACTCTGACCTATGGCGCGGTCACGGCGAGGTAGTCGCCTCTAGACTCACCGGGCACAGCGGCGCACTGCAGGTTGCACTGGCTGGGGTACGTCACGAGGTCCGAGCCGCACACCTCGGAGGCGGCGGGCGCGGGCGGGCACGGACAGGCCAGGGCGAGCGGCAGGGCGGCGGCCAGCACCACGTAGATCAGCATCCTGGGCGGGGGATCAGACGAAGACCGGCAACGCGGAGCTCTTTTGTTTCTGGAGCAGGACGTGTTCAGTGCGCCCAAAACGTTCGGACAAGTCAGTCTCGTCCGTGTAGAGCGCTGTTTTCAAGCTGCTGCTGCGGCCGCTGAGTCGCGCTGCTGAGGACTGCCGACTGGTCGACTGGTCGACTGGTCTCCATCACGTTTGGAGCTCCGACACGTCGATGAGTTGGCGCGCACAAAGCACGGCGACTGGTACGGAAACGGAATACCCCACCCGGAAGGGTTTCCTCGACGATGTGACTACGTCAGGAATATGGCAGATGCGTTAGGAATCAGTAAGGGAGACTGGCACATGGACTGATAACCCGGGCTGGTTTCGGCAAGGAGTCAAGGGCGTCTGGAAACCAATCAGGATTGACGCCTATTGTATGAGGAGCTTCCGCACGGCAATGCGTTATCAGCCCGGGCGTCTGGTACAGAAGCTGATAGGGCCCGAATGAATTTCCTCCAAGAGCCGAGGGGGTCAGGAACGTGGCACGTGGCACATATGACACATGCGTTGGAAATCACACCGAGAAAATGTACAGTTCTCGAGTTTACAATGTTCCTGTGATAGTTTTGTTCCTGGGTGGGTTGGGTATTATTTCGCTCCGTTGTCCGGTGTGTTCCGCCCTGGAAAAAATCGCGGGCTTTGTGATGATGAAATTGTTCTGACCGAACACAATGTATAATGTGAGTTTGAAGGAAATAATGACACACGCCGGTCGCCCGCTCTGTGCTGTAGATAGCTATGAAAGGGGGAGGGGGGCTTTCCCTTCTGGTAGAGCCAGTTTTTAGAGTGGACTGTCTAAAAACGATCCATGACTGAAAAAAATGTTCAGTTAAAATTTAAAAGACCACACATATGTACAAACACGCGCACGCACCTCAAACGTTATTGAGAGGCGTACGGTTTCAGCAACCACTTTTCCGACCACAATCCGAGAACACCTTTCCGTTCCGTTTCCTCGGTGTTGCCCTGACCTCCTCCCCCCC